AGCTAACTTCTTATATGCCTGCTGAGGGATGGTACCATTCAGAGAGGGCTGGGCCCTACTACGTCAGTTATCAGTTAGGGTAATTCCTAACAGACATGCTGGCAGACTCACCCATGATAGCAGTAACTGAGTGCGGAGACTGCTTTTTCAAGTGATTCTGACTGTGTCAAGTGGGCAGCTAAAGTAACTAGGGTGCGAGGTAAGATAATTAATTATCCGTGAATGTAAAAGACACTGATTAAGCCACATCTATGTGTCAGACACTGATGTCCAACCCTGCATACCATAGTAATCAAGGATGGAGCAAAATCTACCGGAGAAAAGGTAATCCACAAGAACAGATAATAAATCAAGCTAGGAAGGAACTGATGGTACAGGGTCAATGTGTGCATGGTGATACACACATACACACACACACACACACACACACACACACACGTATGTATGGGTATTTTCATGCAGCATATAGGAAATGCATCAGTCTGTCCAGGACTGTCCAGAAGGGTCTTTAGGAGTGATACTCAGGCTATCCATTCAAGTAGGCAGAGGCCACCAAACAAAGATCAGTAGGAACAGATCACAAAGGAAGAGCCTGTGCAAAGACCCTCTGTGCAGAACCTCAGCTTAGTCCTGAGTAAGGGCTGAGGCTGAGAAGATGAAGGCAGATGCCAGATAACAGGAAGCCATTCCTTGTGGGAGCAGAGTGGAGCCTGCGTTCCCAGGTGCTCAGAATAGTTCCTTATTCATTTCAGCTTTTCTCCTTACAGGGTTCTGGATAGTGAATGCTTTCTGTGCATTTAATATTAAATTCTAATTTGTTGTATAGGTGTTAAAGTATTAGCTTTTAACTCTAGTCCACTCAATATCTTTATTGAAATAAGTCTCTTAACCCCATTTTACAGAACTTCCAGTTTGCTTTTCTGTTCTTATGACGAATCACTGACCAAAGCCAACATGGGAGGAGAGGGGCTGTGATTGTCTGAATAAGAATGGCCCCCATAGCCTCAAATATTTGCACATTTGTTTCCCAGTTAATGGAGCCATTTGGGAAGGATTAGGAGGTGTGGCCTTGTTGGAGGAGGTGTGCCACTGGGAGTGGGCTTCGGGGTTTCAAAAGCCCTCGCCATTTTTGGTCTCACTCTGCCTTCTGCGTGTGGATCAGATGGGAACTCTCAGCTGCTGCTTCTGTGCCTTGCTTGCCTGCCTGCTGCTACACTCCACGTCAGGTTTGTCATGGATTCTAACCCTCTGGAATGGTGATCCCAAGATGAAACGCTTTCTTTTACAAGTTACCTTAGTCATGGTATTTCATCAAAGCAATAGAAAAGTAACTAAGACAGGTTTTTGGGTTTTTTTTTGGCTTAAACTTGCATATCATACTCTATCACCAAGCGAAGCCAAGGACAAAACCTGGAAGCAGGAACTGAAGCAGAGATCATGGAGGATTGCTGCTTACTGGCTTGCTCACCCATCTAATACAAGGCCACATGCCCAGGAATATCACCACCTACTGAGCTGGGCCCTCCCACATCACTAGTTAATCAAGAGAATGCCCCATAGATTTTCCTCCAGGCCAGTCTGATGAAGACATTTTCTCAATTAAGATTCCCTTTTGCTGGGCACATGCTAAGAGATTAGATATGAAAACAGGATCCAACATTTTGCTGTTTACAAGAAACTCACCTCAACCACAAAGACAGACATCTACTCAGAGTAAAGGGTTGGGAAAAGGGTTTTCAAGCAAATGGACCTAAAAACAAGTGGGTGTGGCCATACTAATTTCTAACAAATCTGACTTCAAACTAAAATCAATCAAAAGAGATAGAGATGGTCATTTTATACTCATAACAGGAACAATTCATCAAGATGAAGTCTCAATCCTGAATATCTATGCCCCTAATATAAAAGCACCCACTTATGTAAAAGAAACATTACTAGAACTCAGGCAGACATCAAACCACACACACTAATAGTAGGAGACTTCAACACACCTCTCTCACCAATGGACAGGACAATCAGACAGAAACCTAATAGAGAAATAAGAGAATTAATGGAGGTAATGAAGCAAATGGACTTAACAGACATCTATAGGATATTTCACACAAATAGGAAAGAATATACCTTCTTCTCTGCAGCTCATGGAACCTTCTCAAAAATTGACCACATACTCGGAAACAAAGCAAACCTCCACTGATACAAAAAAATTTTAGTGACCACGTGTGTCTTATCGGATCACCACAGATTAAAGTTAGAATTCAACAATGAGGCTACCCCCAGAAAGTCGACAAACACATGGAAACTGAACAGTCAACTACTGAACCACACCTGGGTCAAGGAAGAAATTAAGAAAGAAATTAAAGTCTTCCTTGAATTTAATGAAAATAAAGAGACAACACACTCAAACCTATGGGACACTATGAAAGCAGTGCTAAGAGGAAAGTTCATAGCACTAAGTGCCCACTTAAAGAAAACGGAGAAAGCACACATTGGATACTTAACAGCACACCTGAAAGCTCTAGAAAAAAAAAGAAGCAGACTCACCCAGAAGAAGTAGAAGACTGGAAATAATCAAACTGAGGGCTGAAATCAACAAAATAGAAACACAGAAAACAATTCAAAGAATCAATGAAACAAAAAGTTGGTTCTTGGAGAAAATCAACAAGATCGACAAACCCCTATCCAAACCAATCAAACAACAAGAGAGAGAACACGCAAATTAATAAGATCAGAAATGAAAAGGGGGACATAACCACAGACACAGAGGAAATTCAGAGAATCATTAGATCTTACTACAAAAGCCTGTATGCCACAAAACTGGAAAATGCAAAAGAAATGAAAATTTTTTTTAGATAAGTACCATATACCAAAATTAAACCAGGACCAGGTAAACAATTTAAATAGACCTGTTAGTCGCAAAGAATTAGAAGCTGTTATCAAAAACCTCCCTTCCAAAAAAAGCCCAGGACCAGATGGTTTCAATGCAGATTTCTACCAGAACTTCCAAGAAGAACTAATACCTATACTCCTAAATGTATTTCACAGTATAGAAACAGAAGAGTCATTGCCAAATTCCTTTTATGAAGCTACAGTTACCCTGATACCAAAACCTCACAAAGACCCAACTAAGAAAGAGAATTACAGGCCAATCTCACTCATGAACATCGACGCAAAAATTCTCAATAAAATACTGGCAAACCAAATCCAAGAACACTTAGAAAAATTATCCATTATGATCAAGTAGGCTTCATCCCAGAGATGCAGGGCTGGTTCAACATACGCAAATCTATCAATGTAATCCATCATATAAATAAACTGAAAGAAAAAACCGTATGATCATTTCATTAGATGCTGAAAAAGCATTTGACAAAATTCAACACCCCTTTATGATAAAGGTCTTGGAGAGATTAGGAATACAAGGGTCATAAATATAATAAAAGCTATTTACAGCAAGCCGACAGCTAACATTAAATTAAATGGAGAAAAACTCAAAGCCATCCCACTAAAATCAGGAACACGACAAGGATGTCCACTCTCGCCATACCTCTTCAATATAGTGCTTGAAGTTCTAGCAATAGCAATAAGACAACATAAGGGGATCAAGGGGATTCGAATTGGAAAGGAAGAAGTTAAGCTTTTGTTATTTGCAGATGATACGATAGTATACGTAAGCGACCCCAAAAACTCTACCAAAGAACTCCTACAGCTGATAAACACCTTTAGTAATGTGGCAGGATACAAGATCAACTCCAAAAAATCAGTTGCTTTCCTATACACTAAGGATAAGGAAGCAAAGAGGGAAATCAGAGAAGCATCACCTTTCACGATAGCCACAAATAGCATAAAATATCTTGGGGTAACTCTTACCAAGGAAGTGAAAGATCTATTTGACAAGAACTTTAAGGCATTGAAGAAAGAAATTGAAGAGGACACCAGAAAATGGAAGGATCTCCCTTGCTCTTGGATTGGGAGGATCAACATAGTAAAAATGGCAATTCTCCCAAAAGCAATCCCCATCAAAATCTCATCAAAATTCTTCACAGATCTTGAGAGGACAATAATCAACTTTATATGAAAAAACAAAAAACCCAGGATAGCCAAAACAATCTTATACAATAAAGGAATGTCTGGAGGCATTACCATTCCTAACTTCAAACTATTACAGAGCTACAGTATTGAAAACAGCTTGGTATTGGCATAAAAACAGAGAAGTCGACCAATGGAATCGAATAGAAGACCCAGATTTTAACCCACAAACCTATGAACACCTAATTTTTGATAAAGGAGCTAAAAGTATACAATGGAAGAAAGAGAGCATCTTCAACAAATGGTGCTGGCAGACTGGTTGTCAACCTGTAGAAGAATGAAAATAGATCCATATCTATCACCATGCACAAAACTCAAGTCCAAATGGATTAAAGACCTCAATATCAGTCCGAACACACTGAACCCGGTAGAAGAGAAAGTGGGAAGTACCCTACAACATATGGGCACAGGAGACCACTTCCTACATATAACCCCAGCAGCACAGACATTAAGGGCAACATTGAATAAATGGGACCTCCTGAAACTGAGAAGCTTCTGTAAAGCAAAGGACACTGTCACTAAGACAAAAAGGCAACCCACTGACTGGGAGAAGATCTTCACCAACCCCGCAACAGACAAGGGTCTGATCCCCAAAGTATATAAAGAACTCAAGAAACTATACTTTAAAATGCTAATTAACCCAATTAAAAAATGGGCCACTGAACTGAACAGAGAATTCTCAACAGAAGAAGTTCAAATGGCCAAAATCAGGGAAATGCAAATCAAGACAACTTTGAGATACCATCTTACACCTGTCAGAATGGCTAAAATCAAAAACACCAATGATAGCCTTTGCTGGAGAGGATGTGGAGTAAGGGGTACACTCACCCATTGCTGGTGGGAATGCAAAATTGTGCAACCACTTTGGAAAGCAGTGTGGCGGTTTCTCAGGAATTTGGGATCAACCACCCCAGGACCCAGCAATACCACTCTTGGGAATATACCCAAGAGATGCCCTATCATACTACAAAAGTATTTGTTCAACTATGTTCATAGCAGCATTATTTGTAATAGCCAGAACCTGGAAACAACCTAGATGCCCTTCAATGGAAGAATGTATGAAGAAAGTGTGGAATATATACATATTAGAGTACTACTCAGCAGTAAAAAACAATGACTTCTTGAATTTTGCATGCAAATGGATAAAAATAGAAAACACTATCCTGAGTGAGGTAACCCAGACCGAAAAAGATGAACATGGGATGTACTCATTCATAATTGATTTTTAGCCATAAATAAAAAACATTGATCTTAGAGAAGCTCAATAAGAAAGTGAACCCAAAGAAAAACATATGGTTATCCTCCTGCACATTGGAAGTAGACAAGATTGCTGGGCAAAAATGGGGGGTGGGGTGGGATGGGGGAAAGGGGAGATGGGGAGAGAAAAGTGAGAAGGGGAGGATGGGGAGAGCTTGGGGAAATGGGATGGTTGGGATAATAGAAGGATGGATATGGGAGCAGGGAAGTATATATCTTAATTAAGGAAGCCATTTTAGGTTTGGCAAGAGCCTTGACTCTAGAGGGGTTCCCAGGGGTCCAGAGAGGTGTCCCCAGCTAGGTCCTTAGGTAGCTGAGGAGAGAGAGCCTGAAATGGCCTGACCCTATAGCCATACTAATGAATATCTTGCATATCACCATAGAACCTTGATCTGGTGATAAATGTAGATAGAGACAGACACCCACTTTGGAGCAATGGACTGAGCTCCCAAGGTCCAAATGAGGAACAGAAGAAGGGAGAACATGAGCAAGGAAGTCAGGACTGTGAGGGGTGCACCCACACACTGAGACAGTGGGGCTGATCTATTGGGAGCTCACCAAGGCCAGCTGAACTGGGACTGAAAAAACATGGAATAAAACCGGACTCTCTGAATATGGTGGATAATGAGGGCTGCTGAGAAGCCAAGGACAATGGCAGTGGGTTTTGATCCTACTGCATGTCCTGGCTTTGGGGGAGCCTAGCCTGTTTGGATGCCCACCTTCCTAGACCTGGATGGAGTGGGGGAGGACCTTGGAAACTGGGGGGTGGGGTGGGATGGGGGAAAGGGGAGATGGGGAGAGAAAAGTGAGAAGGGAAAAATGGGGAGAGCTTGGGGAGTGGGGCATGGGGAGTGGGGGAAGGGGGAGGGAAAAGGGAGGCGGGAAGGCGGCAGAAATTTTTACTTAAAAAAAAAAGAAAAAAAAGAAAGTTCTTGTCATACAAAAAAAAAAAAGATTCCCTTTTGCTGGATGACAGTTGCTTGTATCAAGTGGACAAGAACTAACCAGCCCACCAGATAAGAGACACAAGTATAACTCCCTCGCTAAAGACAGAGAGCCAGTAAGTTTTGCAGCCAGGTAGGAACCCATCTGTGTTCCTTCCAGACATGAAGGAGCTGTGCTTCAGAAAAACAGTGCATGGAAGTGGGGCCAGGAAGTTACAGCAGGTCAGGATCTGAGCCGTTCCCCTCCCCACTTCAACTGGCTAACTGGCTGAGCTGCTTCAGTTCCTGATAATGCAAAAGAGGTAACAGTGCCCACCTTACAGAATGACTCCAAGGTCCTTGGTAGCTTTAATTGTCAACTTGACACAGGCTAGAGTCATTTGAAAGGAATGTCTTGACTGAGAAACTGTCTGGATCATGCTAGTCCATGCATATGTCCCTGGGACCATCTAGACTTTTAATTGTGTGGGAGAGGCCAACCCACTGTGAGCATATTCTTCTCTGGGCAAGTGATTCCAGAAGGCAGCCGGCCAAGCATGAGCCTGTGTGACCCGCATCAGCCATGTGACCTGCAATCAGTTGTAATCTGCATCAGCCATGTGACCCACAATCAGGTGTGACCCGCATCAGTCATGTGACCCACAATCAGGTGAGACCTGCTTCAGCTGTGCTCCTCCGTTTCTTGCCTCATGTTCCTGCTTGAGCTCCTGCCTTGATTTCCCTCAATGACGGAGTGTGACCTTTAAGCCAAAACAATCACCTCCCTGCTAAGTGGGTTTGTTGTGTTATTTGTGAGAGCAACAGAAATGAAAGTCGGACCGAGGAGCTAATGCCTTAGCGTTCTTCGAGTATTTCTTCCTTAGTGCATCGCCACATCAAGAAGCTAGCAGTGATCATCATGGTATGGTTCACATGAAAAGATGGGAGAGGATGCAGCAAGGCTGCCTGGCAACCCACGGCTCACTTCTGGATTCCAACTAGTTGTTATAAAGCAATACAAATTTTGCAATTGAGCATTATATGTTCAATCTATATCTCTTTCTGTATTGTTCATTACTCTAGAACCTTGAGGGTTAAGAATATATAGAAACCTCACTTTCAAAAACGTTTTCTTCTTGAGCTGGGCAGATGGCTCAGTCAGTGAAGAGAGTTTTCTGTACAAGGACCTGAGTTCAGATTTCTAGGACTTGTGCAAAACTGGGCACAGCTGCATAGATCCATAACCGCCTATACCCATAACCTCGGCATTAAGGAGACAGACCGGTGGACCTTGGCAGATTGCTAGCCACGTGACAGACATCTACAGTCAGCTTCGGGTTCAGGCTAGCCATGTGACAGACATCTGCAGTCAGCTTTGGGTTCAGGCTAGCCATGTGACAGACATCTACAGTCAGCTTTGGGTTCAGGCTAGCCATGTGACAGACATCTACAGTCAGCTTTGGGTTCAGGCTAGCCATGTGACAGACATCTACAGTCAGCTTCGGGTTCAGGCTAGCCATGTGACAGACATCTGCAGTCAGCTTTGGGCTCAGTGAGAGCCATGACTCAAGCTGTGAATGGGAGAACAATAGGGGAAGACGTGCTATCCTGCTCAGGTCTCTGTATAAAGACACATGCTTGCACAACTCGAAGTTACACTCGTGTGCACGGCATTCATGAACACCACACACACACATACACAACACTGTTCTTATATTAAAGTTTGTTCATTAGATGGCATTCTCTAATTTGCCTTCTTGAAATGTAAGCCCATCTCTACCCGTGTTTAGATGCAATGTGTGTAACTGTGTTCAGATGCACTTGTAACTGTGTCCAGATGTGTGTGTAACTGTATTCAGGTGTGCTTGTAACTCTAACTGTGTCCAGATGTGTGTGTAACTGTGCTCACATGTGTATGTAACTGTTTCAAAGGCAATGAGAAAGACTGGCAATGGTGAAGGCTTAGGAACAGAGTCCCGAGGAAGGTAAAAGGCTCTCCCGAGAATGACTGACGTGACCAAGGCTAAATGGGATGTGGGCCGTGGCCCAGTGGTAGCCCTGAGTTTGCTATCTCTGGGAATGTCTTTGGGGGCCAAAGCTCCATCCATGCCCTCAGACAGGCTGAGTTAGACACTATCGATAAATCATTTAAGACCTTGAGCTGAGGGACATGAGGCAGAGGGAGCTCAGTTCTTGTGGGAAAACTAAACAAACAGAAGCCTCCGTGCTGGTCAGAAATACGTTAGTGAGATTAATACCTAATTAAATGCAAGTCCAAAGCCAAACAGAAAACATGCTTGATAAGTTGCAGCTAAATGTGGTGCAGAAAACGCTTCGGAAAGGGGTCTGGTGCGGCGACAGCATCAGAAAGCAAGCAAGATGAGACAAGGAGCCAGCACAGAGAAGTGCGGTAAGACTCTCAGTGATGGGGGACGGTCTCGGGCTGTGTCAGTGATTGTTTCTCTGAGACAAGGAAGGATGAACTGTAAGGAGCCCTCCCCCCCCCCGCCCGTTCAGAGCCACTCGTGATCTTGATTAGAGATTGATACAGTCTACTACTGATTAAAGATTCATTGATACAGACCAGAGTTCTCTTCATCTCAGACTGGGGGTACAGCATGGGCCTAAGACCTAGGCATCCTACTAATACAGAATGTTTACTCCCATAACACACCTGAATGACACAAAGGGGACCACGTGAAATTAAATGTCAGCCAAGGTTTGTGGTGTGCATGTGCAAGTGTGTGTGTGTGTGTGTGTGTGTGTGTGTGTACGAGTGTGTGGGGGTACGTGTGCACATGTGTACGGGTACAGAGGCAAGACTTTAAATAACCTTAAGTAACCTCAGCTATTTTTCTTCAGCCATGATCTACCTTCTTTTTGAGCCTTTGTGGTCTGGGGCTCCCCCAGTGAGCGCGGCTGGGTGCTCAGTAAGCCCCGAAGATGCACTTGTCATGCCTCCACCTCTGCTTCCTCAGTCCTTTGGTTACAGGTGTCCTTGGCTTTTCTTTTAACATGAGTTCTGGGATTTGAACCCAGGGCATTGTGCTTACACTGTACAGCTGAGCCATCTGCCCAGTCCAAATTCTGGGATTCTAACTGTTTTCTTTTAGAGAACAGGAGTTGAGAGTTGGAGAAACAGGGGTCCCTAGCCTTCACGGCTGTCTTTGGTGTGAGGGCTGCACTGCGCAATACTTGCTTCTGACTGGCCGCATTTCACACATGCCGTGTCGCCTTGATGGAGAAAGCAGACCGTGGATGAGGCATGCTCACCGAGAGCGCTTAATTTTCTCAGTTCTTAGGAAGGCACATGGTAAAACAGGCCAAGTTTAGAGTTCTAGGGCAGTCCTCTTCCTTATTGAGGAAGGGTGATAATAATAGCTATTATGATATTGATTGAATTATATTCCTATCTATTTTTTTTGAGCACATTCACTTTTAACCCCCAAGCTTGCCTATGCATTGTACTGTATGAAGCTAGGTAGGGACAAGATGAGGGAGGGATGGAGGGCCGGAGGAATGGAGGGATGGAGGGCCGGAGGAATGGAGGGACGGAGGGCCGGAGGAATGGAGGGATGGAGGGCCGGAGGAATGGAGGGACGGAGGGCCGGAGGAATGGAGGGATGGAGGGCCGGAGGAATGGAGGGATGGAGGGCCGGAGGAATGGAGGGCCGGAGGGCCGGAGGAATGGAGGGACGGAAGAACGAGTGAAGAAAGAACAACAGCTTTAAGTCCTGCCTTAGTAGCCAAG